TAGCTAGTTTTTATATTAAAGATAAAAAAGAGTAATATATATGTGCCGGTGGATTGATATATATGTAGCAAAAGGGGGAAAAAAATAAAATTAAAGATGATTCAAAAGTTATTAAAAAGAAGACATATTTTGGAATGATATGAAACACTGACCCAAAATATGATGAATGAGATCATAAAACACTAGAATTGCAACTATCACAAACCTTCTCATCAATCAACAAAGAGAGAGATACAGGAGGACCACACAATACTGGGAGATTGATCCAATCAACCAACCGTTGAGTGCACTATATACATCCATACATATATCACAAAATTGGTCAACATTTCACTCAGGCTTCAAATTAATTAATGGCCAATAATTCTTACCAATAAGATTGGATAATGGCGTGCCTTCCTTATTAATGGATTCTCAACAAACATTTCAAGGGAAAAAAAGGGTTTTGACTTTAGTTTTATACTACCCCATTTCTTAGTATAAGAGCTAGTTGACTAATTTGAGTAAATTAAAAAAATTAGTTAAGGTAGTTATTTGTAATAAATAGGGGTTATCTTTCCTAAAATATCCTTGCTAATCAAGTGTATTAGTTATAACTACTATTATTACAAGGACCACCTTGGAAAACAGAAGGTAGATATGAGAGACAAAGTAAATTGAGATCTTAGATTTAAGATCAAAATAAAAGTCAAATGAACTCTTATATTAAAAACAAGAGGTAGTATATTGCAAAAAGTCAGAAGATTGAACACATACATTATTGCGGGTGGGAGAGATCCCACCTCATATATGGGAGCATCTTTTTGGCTGTGAGAAAAAGTTGGATATAATTCATTTTGGCTTAATGGAAGCCTTACAACTTTAGCAACAGTTACAAAAAAGTATTAGTACCTAACAATAATATTATTAGGAAAAGAAAGAACTTAAATGTATAATGTTTGATTCAATGAAGAAGAGGGAAAGAATTTTAGCAAAGGAGAGATATTCTGTGAAGGAGAGAAAGTTTGAAGATTCCTTCAAATTTCCCCGATTTTGAAGGAGAATGTTTAGGAGCTCATTTGGTTTCTTGTTTTGGAAACAATTTTTTATTTTTAAAAAACAGAAAAACAAAAAAATTTGTTTGATAATTTATTTTTAGTTAATTATTTAAAAAACAAAAAAATAGTAACTTGTTTTTGAAAACTAAAAAACCAAAACAACCTTTATATTTTTTTTGTTTTTTTTTATTTTTTGTTTTGAAAAATTAGAGAAATCTTCTCCTCTTCTCATCAACTATCCGTCACTTATCACTATCAGTGACAATTACCACCTGGCAATTGTGATTTTATATTTTTTAACTGTCATTTTTAAGTTGTTATCAAAACAAAGTTTTTTGTTTTGTTGTTTTTAAAACTTGTTTTAAGAAACAATTTTGTAAAATTATTTTGAGAACAAGAAAACAGAGAATAAAAACAAACAGACCCTAAAATTCTTCTTCCTATCTTCTCCATCTTGTTTTAACTAAAACAAGAGGATTTGGAAATATCTCCCTTCCGTATTTTTATATCAAATAAGGACAGGAGAGTAAAAGCCCTCCTTTTCTCCCTCCAACCAAACAGATAATGAACTAAAATAAAAAATACATAAATAAAACAATTACCTTGATTTTTTTTTGTTTTGAAAGCAGTTTTATATTTTGATAAACAAAAAAAACAAAAAACAAAAACTTGTTTGGCTATTCATTTTTTGTTAAATGTTTTTTAAAAAATCTGTTTTTAAAAACTTAAAAACCAAAACAATGTTTAATTGTTTTTTTGTTTTTCGTTTTGTAGTTCTTATTTTTTGTTTGGAAAAATTGGGAAACTCCTTTTTCTCCTCTTGATGGCTTTTTCTTCTTTTGAATATTTGAGTTTCATCATAGCCTCACCCTCTCATTTGAGTATGTTTATTTTCAAATGTAATTCTTTAGAACAATTATCCAAATAGATTTTTTTGTTTTTAAAACTTGTTTTTAAAAGCAATTTTATAAAATTGTTTAAAAACAAACAACAAAAAACAGATCCAAACAAGCCAAATTTCGGTATTCCTTCTTTAATTAGGTTAAAATGAATTGAATAATATTTCCCTCTGTATGGATCGAGAGGAATAGAAGGGATGGGATGTTTGGGGTAATTTTTAATGATTTTTATTTTAAAAATAATGAAGAGGTAGGGTGAAAAATTTTAATAAATTTTCCCTTCTCTTCTCTCTCTTCTATTCTCTCTGTTCTCTCTGTTAAAATTCCCCCAAGTCACAACTTTTATTTTTTAAAAAAAAGATATTAGAACCATTAAGATTTTTCCTTTCCACAACAAAACTAGAAACTGGAAAAAAAAAACAGAATATAGTGAAAAGTGATAGAGTACGCATTCAATATAAAGGTTTAAAGCCCAAAAAAGCAAATATCTAGTTAAAAGGCCCAATAAGTCCTCCAGAGTATTCAAGAGATGTTTAGTCCAAGAATGCTTACATGGAGGAAGACATATATAATTGCTGGACTTGTATTCTCTCCACTACCCTTCCTATCTTCTTCCCCTCCACTACCCTCCTTTTCCCTTCACAACCATTGGATTAAAACTTCAAGGATCCAGATTTAATATTTTATAACATTTTATAAAAATAAATATTATTATTAAAAATAGATAAATAAATTTAAACTATTAAAATTTAATATGATGAATTCATAGTTGTAAGCTGTAATTATGGAGCAAATTTTTCTCAATTTTTTATTACAGTTGTGAATTGTTTAGACCAAATTTTAACAATTTAAATCTATTTATTTATTTATTTTTAATAACACTATGTTTATAAGATGTTAAATCTGAACCCTTAAAGTCCTGATCCGATGGTTGCGAAGGAAAAAAGACGGTAGTGGAGAGAATCTAAGTCCATAATTGCTTTGATGATAACATGAACAATCATATATGTGAAGCTTGATATGACACATGACAACATAGTTTCAATGCCGCAATGTTTGGCATGTGAGTTATTAGTGTATACACACTTAGATGTTAAGAAAGATAAGAGCATGTTTTAAAGGCCTAAAAAGAGTATTCGAACCCAATTCCCATGTGATTGAAGGCTCGATGCAATTGTCTGTGCAAAGAGGAACCAATGGAACTGCAATCTATTAAACTAGGGGGCAAATACATTATGTAATAGATCATGGGAGTTTTAGGACATGATCCAATCATATCTAAACCCAAATGGGTGTGTAAAAAACCCATACATGTTTATAAACGTAGATACTATTTATGAAGATTTATTTAAAAGGTCCAAAAGGATTCAAAAAGCATTAAGAATGATTTTATATGACATTATTTTTTAGGTGATTTTTTATTTATATCTCAATTAAGTTTTAAATATGTGTGGAAAATTATTCTCTATTATCCAATAAGGGAGAATTCCAATTAAATCTAATTGAAATACGTAAATCCAAATTCAGCCTATATTTTTAACAAATTTCTAATCAGGCCATGAGGCCTCATTAGGGATTTATGAATGTGACCATAATGCCCTCTTTAATTAAAAATAAAAATTGATTATTTTGCCCCTCCCAAGTGTTCGCTCATCTCTTATAATTATTTTTAGGACTAAAAAACACATAAGTATTTTTATAGCATTTAAAATTTGTATATATAATTAAAACCTGCAAAGATATTTTAATCAAACATATTAAATTACATTATAAGTGTCCTTTAGCTAAATATTTTGTACTTTTAGGTTGTAAATATTTATTTTAAGATTTTAAAATATCTTAGTTACAAGAAATATTTATTATTAAGTTGTTGTAAATTATGTTTTTGTGTAGGAAACCAACATCTGCTTAACTAAATAAAACTAACGTAAATTATAAGAACATAATATTAAATTTTTTTAATTAAAATATTTTGAGATCTTAAAATAAGTATTTGCAAACAGAAAATAAAAAAATATTTATTTCAAGGCTATTTACATTGTAATTTAAAATGTTTTATTAGAATATTTTTTAAGCTTTTAGTTATATATACAAATTTTAAACACTATAAAATTACTTATGTGTTTTTTGTCCTAAAATAATCATGAGATATGAGAGATTAGTTAAGAGTAAAATAATTATTATTTTTAATTAAAGAAGGACATTTTAGTCATCTAACAACATTCAAAAATTCTAAATTAGGCTTCATGGCTTGATTAAAAATTTGTTAAAAGTATAAGCCTTAATTTGGATTTAAGTATTTCAACCAGGTTTTATTAGGATTTTCCCATCAAACAATGTCTCTGGGATTTTTCTTAAATTTTTGGACATCATCTGACGGTGCCGAGTGGAAGGGCCATCGCTTAACGGATAAAAGTTACTCTAGGGATAATAGACTAATTTGCCCCAAGAGCTTACATCAACGAGAAGGTTTGGTATCTTGATGTCGGCTCTTCACCACATGAGGCTTTAATTCTTGACTGGAGGGGACACCAAAGGCCTTTGCCTTTCCATTCCTTGGATAGATAGAGAGGGAGGGCAGAGTTTTTGGTTTTTTCATGTTGTTAAAAAGTTGAACAATGAAAATAGATGGAGAGTGCCTAATCAAATTGATCAGGTCAGACTTCCGTCCCTGCTCGACGGTTGGGTCTTGCAATCAAGCTCCCTTCTGCCCTTGCATTCGAAGGCCAATCTCTGTCTGGTCTGAAGAAATTTTTGCACGCATCTGTTACCTTCTAGGAGACCTACACCCAATTAGGCTTACATACTCATATTTTTTCAAATATTACACCTTTGCTCCTACTAGGACATGAACGGGATGTTAGTTATATAATCTAAGGGTTTGTTTGGCAAGCACCCCAAACCATGGTTTGGGAAAAATGCCAGCCAAACAGCCTCTGAAAAATATGAAACCATAGTTTGGGGGCAAACCATGATTTTGAACCCCCAAACCATGGTTTTATCAGAAGCAACTCTGATCTGCTTCTCGGCTCCAGTTACTGAAAGCGCATGGTGGGCCCCTCAACAGATGACCAAATAGCCCTGTCTCCAATTATCAGAAGCAGTCGTCCAGTGGTTCATTCCTCTCCTCAATTATCAGATGACCAAACAATTGCTCTTCCTCTCCTCTTTTACGCTTTCTTCGTCGGTCCAGTGTTTCATTCCCCAGTCATCCACAGTCTTCCTTTCCTCCTTCACAGAACGAGTCACCGTCGGTGAAGAAGTTGCCGTCCAGCCATGGTTTGAAGGTGCCGGTGAGAGAAATCGCAGTTATTAGTTGTGAGTTTCGGCGCTCAGGTTCGGTGTGAAGCATTCGGCGGTGGTTGGTGTTCCCTGGCTCAGATCCGGCGCTCAGGTAAGGTGGTTCAGATCCGGCGTTTTCTTCTTCTCCATGGCCTCGAAATAGTCCTTGCTCTTATCCTCTGCTACTCGATGCCTTGGGAGTTTTCATGCTCTTCTGTTAATTTCAGTGTCAATTCGCTCAATTTTCATTTCTGTTCGCTCTATTTCTGGATATTCTTCGTTCTTTGTCTATTTCTGGACATTCTTCGTTGTTTATGCCTCATGTCTCTACTGTTGGGTCTTGCGACTTGAAGGGAATGACTCTGGGTTTTTCTTACATTCGAGATTTCTTTCTTTAGTGTTTCCATTATGTTTCGAGTTGTAATAATCAGTAAAAACCATGGCTTTAGATGCTGAAATAAAACTTTTGTGCTGGAGCAGTACTGCAAGCCCTGTGCCTCACAGGATTCACATATAAGTTCAATTAATAATTCAGATTCTGCTATTTTGCTCAGAAACAAAGGAGAATTTGTTGGATTTTGGTCCATCATAATACATTCCCTTTAGGTTCAAAAGTTTACTATTTTTGGTGTACATGAATGTTAGGCTGGTGGATTGGACACGCTCACTCATAACAGCTTAGTAGCATATAGATCTGCAAATCAGCAGGCAGTGCAAATTCCATTTGCTCCAGTAAGACACATCCCTCCGGCGCCGGCCGTCCAAATCGCCGTCGTGGCTCAATAGGAAGCAAATCCATTTGAAGTGCAAATACCATTTGCTCCATCGAGCGACATCCCTCAAATGGCAGATATGGCTCAACCACAAGCGAATCCATTTGATCATTACACGCCCTATTATCAGTCTCATCAGCAACATGATGTGTTGATGAATCTAGCCAATCCCTTTGCTCATAGGGCGTATCCTGGGAATCCTGTTTCGCAACCACAGGTCATTCATGGAGCGTTTCATCAAGAAGCTAACATCAGCCGAAATTGGAAGCATCCTCCAAGGGAATAATCGGTATCGATATATATAATGCAGAAAATAGAAGCAGAGAGAATGAAACTATTTTGATGTATAATGGCCATGGACCTTGATGAGAATGAACTATGTTGATGTATTGTGGATCCATAGAATGAATAATGGAATTATTCAGTGAATTGTCTCTATTATTGGATTGTTGTGAACTTGCTGATTTGGGATTTGATTTTCTGAAGCGCCAGAAACCCCGTCGTCATATGTATGAAAGTATTGATTTGGCAGGTTAAAATGATATGGTTCAAACTTTGTAAATCATTTGATTATATATTTTTATCTTTCTCTGTTATATATGAATAGATCATTTATATATTAGGCTCGGAGTTTTGTGTGCGTAAAAATTTATAAAGCACAAAACATAACAATAATATGATTATAGTACAAAATATAAATTAACAAAAAAATTTTTAAAAAAATCTATGATTACATAAATTAACAATTAATTAATTAATTATATTAAACATCAGAGATTATTATACATGTAGTATGTTATTACAAAAAGTAGTTGTGAAAAAATGTTATAGAATTTAATGTTTAAAATCATTAAAGAAAATTAATATTTTTCTGTTAACAAAAAAAAATTCATTTTTCTATAAACATATTTAATATTATGTTTTATAAATATATATACACATATTAATTATGTATTAATTATATTATCTTATATATTATTAATTATGTTAGTAAAAATTATTTCATTAACAATTTTGTTTCTTCAAATCAAAATATATCATAAAAATATATCCTTTATATAATTATCATATTAACTTATATCCTTTTTGGTAATTTTCACATGTAAAAAGTGCTTCTGGTAATAACTATCCAAACACTCTCACTTCTCAGAATCTATTCTCCACAGAATCTATTCTCCAGAAGCTATTTTCTAAACCACGGTTTGGTTTCATCCAAACACACCCTAAGAATGTTACTTGGGCATATGTACTATTTTATTTAACTCTTAACTAAATTTTAATTATGAGTTTAGCCTTTATTAGATAAAAAAAAAGAAAAGAAGGAAGGATCTTGGCCAGTGATGAGGAAGGGTCCAAGAGATATATAATTTTATTCATTGATGTTATCTTATTTTATTTTTGAATTAAATTTTAAGCGTAGAATTCCTCTTTATTTCATTTATTTATTTTTAAGCGTAGAATTCCTCTTTATTTCATTTATTTATTTTTCATACCGTCAATCATTTAAAAATCATCTTTAACCCAAAGAAATATCTCCGAGCATATATGGCAAATGATATTATATTTGATCAAAAAAAAAATTAAAAAAGACACATATACTATATGTACTTTGCTAAATTGGATTTTTTTTTTCAATTCTATTTAGGAAAAAATAATAACATAGCTTCAATACTACCTCTTATCCTTAATATAAAATCTAGTTTGTAATTCAATTACTATTTGATCATAAAATCATAAAAGATTTTATGTTTTCTTTTTGTTGGGATGCATTTAACTGATCATTTCATCTACTTGTTCACAATTTCACACAAGCATTCCTTTAATATACCATATTGCTTAAGATTTGTAATCATATTAATTTAATTGTAATGAATTTGAATCCATCAATTTTAAACCCCTAATTAACCAAAGTCAAAGCTCAATGAAGTACAAATTGTAAATAAGCTTCAAATAATAATGACGCTATTAGATTTAATTTATTCAATTTCCCTCGTTTAAATTGGATTTTTTTGATCCTATTTAAGGAAACAAAATAACCTATTTGCCAATTGCCATATGTTTAGGAGAATCCACAAAATCATACAAGAATTTACTTTTTGTCCATAATTAATTAATTGTTTTTTAAATTCAACAGTCGTTCCCAAGCAAAGCTTTCAGTTTCAACACAATAAAAAAAAAATTTGGTCAAATCTTTATATAAAATGGATCAACAAAGAAATTGTGCGTCTTTAATTTTATGCACCCATCTACAAAAGTGGATATTATCATACATCTGGCAGAAACACATTTGAAACAAGCCCCATGAAGCGGCACGATTATACATGCAGGGTTGTCTAATTCGATCGTGAGTCTAAGAAAACTTGTGATAGGAATATAAACTCAAAACATAGATTCAGATCGTAAGCTCATAAGTATTTACTTTTATTAATAAATTGGTATTAAAAGTTTACAATTAAATATTACAATATTAAAAATAACAATAATTTTATTTACAAATATTTTAAATCCAAATAATTAAAATTACATCTATCAATGTTCATAATGTATCATATTCAACTAAAAAAATTTCTATGAAAGCCACATAATTATAAAGTCACTGAACAAAATTAAATCCAAAATTCTAACACGAGTTTAAGAACTAGTTGATATAATTTTGTAAGCTAAAGACATAAAAAGAGTAAACTCGCAAATTCAGCTAAGGTTATAGCTAGTATGGTTTAAGAATAAATTGACATGTCCGGTCAAAAAAAAAAAAGAATAAATTGACATGATTTTGTAAGCTGAAAACGTAAAAACATTAAACTTGAAAAGTCATCTTTTGAGTTTGACAACAATGTATATATGTTTTTAACCTACCAATTACAATAATATTGCTCAAGATATGCAAGAGGAAATCCAGCCAAAATAAATAAATAAATAAAGACTATGACTTCAGAAATAGCATTCTACGTTTTATAAATTTTGGGGAACAATAGGCGGCAATTCGCACAACCCTTAGGACATGCTGATAATCTTATGAGCATCTGAAGGTTTGAATCTGCATTTTCCTCAGAAGAACTGCGGATGAAGATGGTCCTCAAATTCCTTGCATACTTCATCATCAATGAAGCGAGTTCAAATTGATCGACATTCCAACCCTCTATATTCAAAAAGACAAATTTCCTTAAGATTTGATGCAATGGAATGAGGAATTTCAGGCATTGCGTCGTCCATCTTCCTTCTCCTGAAACCAGACACAGGTTGAAGCTACATATACATGTGTGTGTGTGTGTGTGTGTGTGTATTATAAATCTCAGTTAGAAAACTAACCAACTAAAAAGTAGTGTGAGCATTAAGTTAACTAAAATCACAACCAACCTTATGAATGACAAGAGCTTCAAGTTTTGGGAATCTTTCAAGACATTCCACAAAGTGATTCGCGTCATGAGTAATAATCCATGACAATTCCAGGTGAGTTAAATTATAAAATGTTGGAATTGCATTTTTATGAGGTACCCACCAGTCCTGCATTAGGAAAATTAAACAAAAAAGTTTACAATTCCGGATATAAAAAAAAATTATGGGAATGAAACAAAAGAAATAATCATTGTGAATACCTCAACAAACCGGAGAGACCTGACATTGCTAAAAGCTGTCAACCGAAAAATTGAAGCTGTCAACCGAACGTGGGGTGGTCGAAGTTCTGCTGACACCAAATGTTCCAACCTTCTAATTTTGGAGGTCCCAGATAAATGCTCACATTTCAACACCACTTCTTCAAGATGAGAACATCCATTAAAGATATTAGCTGCAGATTCAGGGCTTTTAAATTGAACTTTCTCCAGATGCATTACTTTAAGTGAAGGCAAATTAACAGTAGATTGAGCATTCAGGAAAACCCTAGACAACTTTAAAACCATAATGGTACTGTTATGGAAAAGGCGAGTAGGCAAATCAACGTCGTTATTAAAATTTGCAAAACACAGCTCGAGATGCTGGACTTTACTATTGATGGCTGCGTTAATCCAAAGGTTAATCTTGAAACGGGGAACTATGAATTTCTGACATTTGAGGCGAAACATGTTTATGGTCTTCGAATCTGACAAGAACACGACTGCGTCTACGAATTGAATGAAAGAGACGAGAAGAGGAAATGCAGAGTCATTAATATCGAGAATGGGCATGTCTAGCCCTAGCAGTGCCCATCTCTTGGACAAGATCAGACTTGTGGCAACGGCTTGCTTGATCGGAAGAAAAGAAAGGATGTGGTGAAGAAGATGATCTGGTAAGTTGCTAATCCTGTCACTCTCTTCTTGTGTAGGCGCTAATTTTGCGAGTTTGGACGCTGATGAATTTGCCATACCGGATCGGTGAAATTTCACAGAACGAGGCTTAGCTTCTTGGGATTACTGCCGGAGGCCGGTCGGAGTACTACAAAGCCGCCTTTGGACGCCGCACAGTTGGTTGGCCGGAAAAGTCCGCAGAACAGGTTCGGAGAAATTTCAAGAACTGAGGCTCTTTGCTTTATGTAATAAGATCCTGACCCTGTAATCACGAACTTGGTGCTCCCTTGCCCAAGTTTTGTAACACCCCGAATTTTATGATTTAGGATGAGTAGAAAAGAGAAAAATTTATTAAAATTATTTATTTGCCAAATAAAGGGGGAAAATTATGGAATAATGATTTTTAGGGTTTAGAGAGATTTTGGAAAAGGTATTTCTCCAAAAATGGCTTAAATAATTTTAATAGATAATTTTAAGAGAAGAATGGTTTATTTTCTCTGGAAATTATGGAAAAATACTTAGAGATTTATATTTAATTTGAGAATTTTAGGATAACCAGTTGTGATGGATAAAAAAAATCCATTCAGGACATTTTGGTTTAATTTCTGGATATATCTTATATTTCAGAAAAATAGGAGAAGGGATAGGATTGGAAGAATAAATATTTAGAAGGGCAAAATGGTCCAGCAATTATATAATATACGTGCTGCCTCCTCCTCAATACGGCTAAATCGTTTCTCCGTTGCACAGCTGGTCTTCCACGCGTCTAAATTCACTCCTCCATGTAACAGCTGGTTACCATGCGTCTAACTCACTTCATTCGGTGTCCAGAAGAAAAAGAGAAGGAGAACGAGAGAGAGAGCACGAGAGAGAGACAGACAGAGCTGAGAGACCGAGAGTAACTTGAGGAAGTTGAAGCCGACAAAGAGGTGATCGGAGGAAGAGATTTTCACAGGCAACCGTGATTCTTGGTCAAGGTAAGTCTCTGAAATCGTTTTCCCACTTTAAGTTCTTCACTGGTCGATGTTTCTGGGGGGATTTAAGTGAGTGAGAGACGGGTAGTGAGAGAAAGTGAGTAAAAGGATACAAGCTTCGGTGAGCTAGTGTTTTATGGCCGATTGAAGTGTATGATACCGGTTTTTGGGCTTGCATGTAAGGTTGATGCTCTGTTTTGAGATTACCGAACAGGGGCTTAATTTTTGGAGCTATGGATGTCGGTTTCTAAGATCTTGGGAAGAAAGAAAACCGAGTTACGTGTTGATTTTCTTATCTGCATGTGATATCTGAAAGGCTGTGTCGATGCTCTGGTTCTTGGTGGCCGAAACTGATAGATATAAGTGTATACATATATATGTTTTGCGTATGTGTATTCGGTCTAAAGGTCCTTCTTTTCGTCTCTGTTTCTTGATTTCCCTGACAGAGCATGTTATTGCTGTGATGGCGTTAGATATTGCTGAAACAGGGAGATATATATGTATGTGTATATATATATATAACTCGGGAAAGTTGAAGTCAGATTCATGTATGTATAGTAAAAGCTGATTGCAAGTGATTGGGTGTTTGTGTTGTTCTGGCCGAATTGAGACTGTGTTTTCCTAACCATAAGTGTCGGGTCTTAATGGAAAATTAAAGGGGAGAACCGAAGCTTATGTGAGTATATATATATAGAATGTGTGTGCTTTGTTGCTGTCATGGCACTCGAATTCATGGAGCTAGGGGTAATAGTCGCAGATTTGTCTTAACAAATTTATTATATATGTATATATGTATGTGTGAAGATGCCGTGAGGAGTGAGTTTGGAAGCTAAAATCAGATCGGAAGTGAAAAGTGATACACACACATGGCGCGAGGAAAGAAGGAAACTAGATTAATATATGCATGTGCTGTTTGGTTGCTGTTGTCCGTGAGGTTGATAATTGGGAAAGTTGGAATTTTCGAATTATTGAAGTTAAATAAGGATCTTAAAGGTATATGAGTTGCTAATAATAACTAGAAAGGTTTGTAGATTTATTTTGGAGTGTCAGATTAAATTATTTGGTGGAATAAGGAAAAGTAAAGTAACACTATGGGTCGAGATAAGGAAGGAAGTGTTCCAAAGAGAATAGTTTGAATAAGAAAAATTATCCAAGATGACCAACTATTATGGAAGGGTAGAGATTAAAGAAGATTTGGGATTTAAAGAGAGTTATTTAATTTATGAATTACAGTTGGATCAAATATTGATCTGCCCTTACTAAAATAATAGGTTTTGATATCTGCAAAGGCCCACCGAAGAAGCTAAGAGAAAGGAAACAAGTAAGGTTTGATTTTGAAGTAGAAGGTTCAGGTAGTAGTTCTTTCCTCCCTTACACTTGTGTATGATTGCTGCATGTCTGTTTGTGCCATATTGCTATTCAAAAAGCATGAGAACATGTAATCTTTAATTCCTTGCATGGATTATTTAGCCGTGATCACGTGCAGCTGATAGACATGGGGCAGTGATTGCCAATTATTTGTGCGGCAGTGATTGCCAATTATTTGCGCATTATTTATTCAGCTTGTCTAATAGACATGGGGCAGTGATTGCCAATTATTTGCGCATTATTTGTTCAGCTTGTCTAATAGACATGGGGCAGTGATTGCCAAGTATTTGCGCATTATTTATTCAGCTTGTCTATCTGTCATTGCGCATAAATACTTATTTGCATTAGCTTGCAAGGTTATGTTCCACTTTGGCTTGTTTTGCATGTTTTATGTAATCTGCACATTTGTTTGATGGAAATTACTACTACGGGGATTCTTCGGAATCTCACCCCCCAATTTATGCTGAACAGTGAAAGCTAGTAGCCCGAAGGACAAGGAGGTTGTTTAAGAAGAAGGTGGGCTGATTGAAGAGCTGTAAATTGTATAACAAAATATATGGGCAAGTAACTTTACTTGCTCTATGTAAATATTATCTTCCATCCTCTAGAAGAAGGAGGTGAGCGTTGTCAGGTGCACGTATATGCTGTCAACTAAGAGCGTTGCTTTATTTTTTAAAATAATATTATAAGATTGTATAGTATGAAATTATTTTAGGTGATAATAGATTAAGTTGAAAGCAGGGTTGATATTGGATCACTCATCAGTTATCTGAAGGTTTGAAATATTTGATCAACAGATTCCAATGTTAAAGGAAAAAAAAAAATTCCCTGTCTTTTCCCAGGACAAAAACCTGGCGTTAGTGATTCACAGACGTTAAAATGATCCTATTAGTATATAAAAGTGAGGTGTTGCAAGTTTCATAAATAAGAACTTCTTTTATTATAAAAGTCATATAAGTCAAAATTTTAAATTGTGATAATTGAAATTTTGAGTTATACTTAATATCTTTCTTTATGTGCAAGAATCAATCGATTTTAAAATATTTAAGAAATCAAGGTTAAATGAATTTCAGATTTTAAATAACCTTCAATTAATTGTTAATTATAAAATATAGAATTAGATTTATTCAATTCAATTTTCCTAGTGTAAATAGGATTTTCATGATCCTATTTAAGCAAACAAACAACGTATCTGCCATGCTATTTAGGACATCCCGCAAAATCATGCAAATTAGAATCACACAATAATTTATTCCGATCAATTCATTGTTTCAATTCAACTATCTTGGTGCCGAAGCAAAGTTTTCATAAAAACGCCTTGCGATAACCTTGGGAGCCAATCAATGGAACTTTTATTTTTAAGAGTTTTATCCAAGTTTTTCAATATCTTGATTAAAAGTAATTTCGTTTTATAATAAAGAAAAAAGTAATTTTATGCATTCATCCTCTCTTTTGACACCTATTATTCTCCATTGCTCATCCTGTTCTCTCCCAGAGAGGACAGAATTGAAATAATCTGCCACCATTAGAATAAAACTACGTTACTGATTCCCCCCCCCCCCCCACAGGATTTGATGTCTTTAAAATTTGATACGAACACCCACCTAACAAGTGCAATTAACTATTTACAATGCCATCATCCTCAAATAATACACACTAACTATTTGTAAAAGATGCATCTTTGTCTTTTTGGGTCAAAAGTAAAAGATATATCTACTCTTGATTTGGGAAATCATTCTTAAGGCACTTCAAATTAAAGGTGATGTTCTACAAAATCACAACATATTTATTTTATGCTGTCTGATCTATTCTTCTCTACAGTACTTCCAATGACCTTCTTTGATCAACATTATATATGGAGGGAAAAAAAAAATCTATCCACGCATTCTTGTATTGTATACATTATCCAACTCCAGTAATTGAAGAATTTAAAGGACATATGGTTTTTCTTTGATCGGTCTCTTGTGCAAATGGAATCCACACCCAACGCAAACTTCTACTCAGTTATAGCCTGTTATATTTAAGGAAAAAATATAAGGTATGTTTATTACCATTAATGAGCATTCATAAAATAATAAAATATTTTATTTTTTAAAATTTTTTAGAACGCAATTACTTAAAGAATTTTCATGGTGTTTAGGAGAAAATCTACATTGTATTTTCGATATCATGTTGCTTAATTCATATTTTTTGCCATACTATTGCTTAATTCAGATTTGTAATCATATTAATTTAATTGTAATGACTTTGGATCCATCAATTTTAGATTTATCCAATTTCCTAGTTTAAGAATGGTGAACATTTTTTTCCCAGTTTAAAAAATAATATCTCCCACATTTGAGCGTTCAAATCTTCCGTTAACAGCACTGTATGAAGAAGTTGAAAAGAAAACTTTCTATCATCAGAGAACTGATTCAATTGATATTTAGTATAAGACAATACTGTTGGTCTATATATTTTCTTTTTGAAAAAATTGCATCTAATAATTTCTGGGCATTTAAGATTAAAGAATTTAGACAGGAAATTTTTTAATACTTTATTTTTATCAGCGTCAAATTTATGAACTGATATTCAGACAAAAACAGTTATGATCTGATCGATAGGATTTACTATTCAATTTACTTAAAAAAATTCATTTGCTGTAAATTTTCTGAAATTTTGTGGCAAGATTGAAGTAATTTCCATTTTCATTAAGTCATATATTTTTCAAGATTATTATCATATCGAAGCTTTCAA